GTTGTACACTTAGAAATTTCAGAAAGCAAAAAAGTGCAAAGCATTCAAGACACAGATGACGCATACGCAGCGTTGAACAGAGTTGAAAGGTGGTAAATCGGAGAAATGGAATATGCAGCTGCTACAATTTCACAATGAATTAAAATAACAATATATTGATTTAAAAAATATATTTTAAAAAAGTTATTTATTTAGAATTTCATAGGAACAACTTTTCTAAGCTTTTAAATTTTAAATATAGAATTTTCTGGCTTATTTAAATTTTTTGGATTTTTAAGTTGAACAACTTTTCTAAGCTACTTAAATTTAAAACTAGAATATACTACATTACCAACTTTTCTACACTTTTTAATTTACAATATTTTTTATGAATTATATACGTTTATTTGAAACTAAAAACATATATTTTGGTTCAAATGGTTGTAGCTTTCCGCGTCCCTTATTTTGCCCGCTGAGCGCAGTTCAACACTGCGTATGCGTAATCTGTGTCTTGAATGCTTTTCACTTCTTTCGCAGCTCGCATCGCATGTGCAGTGCATTTCCGCTGTCATATCTCACAAACACACACACACATGCACAACAAATCAACGCACGCAGCCGACAAGCTGCAAACAAGGATAACAAATACAAACCTATATCTGTATATATATAGTTTTTTATTTATGCATATAAATAACAAAATATCAACTCAGCCATTGCACATCGAATGCTGAGCAACACTCAAAAAGACGTCATCAAAGTCTCACACACACACAGAACTTCAGCAGCTGCAGCAGCAGCTCAAAGATACATTTTGTCGTGTTTGTTGTTGCTTATTCTATTTTTTTGTATCTCGTATCTGCTGCAGTTCATTGACTTTGCAGTCTCACATTTCATTTGCTGCTGCTGCTGTTGTTGTTGTTGTTGTTGTTGCTGTTTTAGGTTTTGGTTTTTCTATCTATGAGTTTGTATTTATTTCTTTGCCCGGTTGTCACGGCTCACTTATTTCATTTCCCAGTGCCTTGCGGTCTCACAATTGTGTGCATATTTTATTTAAACGATTTCTCTTGGAGACTACGACAGCACGACAAGTATGACATGCGTTTTCTCGACTTTTTTTGCATTTAGCTTTTCTCCTTTTTTTGTGCTGATTTGCTTGCTTGACTTTGTGGGTCAAGCGTTGGGGTTCGGGCCGTTGGGCCCAACCGCAACTGAAATGTTTTTGATGCTGCTCTAGACCCCATTGGGATGACTCAGACGGCAATCGCTAACAGCAATTACATGTGTGCATTGATCGGCAACAAGGTGGAACGTGTGGGACTTGATTTCTATTAATTGAAAATTTATTGGCACAACACTAAATTAAAGCTTTTACTGTGTTCATTTTATATTTATTGACACAATTCTTGCAGAGTAAGCCCTAAATATCTTCAAGCAGGTTACAACTTGAGTTGATATTTAGAAAACAGTTTCGATATGCCCAACTTATAAGGAATATAATGAATTAAGAAATGATATTTCTTATCTTTTTGTATGTTTATATTGAACATAGAAATTCCCCTTTTGTTTTGTATATATTATAAAAAATATATATATTTATAGATAAACTGTATATTTATTTTCAGACTTTCAATGAATAAAACGCAGTATATATAAAAAAATGTAAAGCGATTAAATTGGGAAATATAATATTTTATGGTGAGTGCAAATATATGCTTTGTATTTAATTTATTAGAAAAACCCAGTAAAGTAATATTAAATATACGAACTTTTTTTTAATCAATTGACCTATATTTCACTTTTGAATGAAATTGTCTCTAGCCCAACTGATATATTTATTTTAACAGACATATTTAACAATCAACATTTGTTTTTACTGCTGCTCAAGGATTTTATCAAAAGATTTTTTAAAAATTATAATCTATTTCTGTTGGCTTAAGTAACTTTTTATTTTGTCTAACTTGTTTGCTGCAATTGTTCCTTATGTGCATTTTCCAACTTAATACTTTTCATAGATTTCTTGATCAATCAATTGCCCTTTGTCCCTAAAATACCTTTCAGAAACAAATTATAGTACAAAGTGATTTAGTGTGTGTGTGTGTGTGTGTGTGTGTTGCGTGTTTCGGTGTTTCCTGTGCTTTAGTTGTCGCTGACGTTGTCGTAACTGTCGGAGCTGCCTTTCTTAGACCACAGAAACTCATTACGGGGCTGCCTTGTCTCTCTCTCTCTCTCTCTCTTTTGCTCGCTCTCTCCCTCTCTTTCACTCTCTGTATCTGCGTTTTTGCTATTTTGCAATTAAAACTTTCATTAAAGTAATTAAAATTGCAACAAAATCAACAAAAATACAATCAAAATCTACTAGCGGGACGGAAAGCGGGAGAGAGCGGAAGCGAGTAGAGCAAGGGTAAAGAGGGTACATTGTGGTTAGAGGTTCAGGGCCTTGACAAATACACAAAAATGCAGTTAAAAATGTGCATGGAATGGCAAAGGGAGGAGGTTGGCGAACTGTGTGGACAGGGGAAAACAAAGACAAAAGTGTGACAAATATAAACAGGAGTGTAAATAAAATGGCAGAATGTAAATGCAGTAGTATGGGGCGGGGGGCAAATGGCGGTGGGGCAAGTGGGGATAATAAAATGTGGTAATTGTAAATAAGTGGAAAATGAGTGCGAGCAGCAAAGGGGGCGTATTAAAGGCTGCTGCAGGATAGGGACGTGGGGGTGCTAAACAAAACGTAAAAGTAACATTTAAAATTCAAATTAAACGACTGGCAAAGCCACAAAGGATTGACATGAAGTTAGTGCCACGGCAACCAACCAGGAGCAACAACAGCAGCAACTAAAAAACAACAACAACAACTACAGCAACCACTGTGTCTGTGCAGGAGGTAACCACAGCTGGCAGATGTTTTTGCAGGCACTGTTGCAGCTGCTGCAGCTACTGCTGCTGCTGTTGTTGCTGCTGCAGTTGACAGTTGCAATGCATTTTAGCATTTTTGCAATTGTTTGTATTTAAGTTTGACATTTGCAGCATGCACAAAGCAACAGAAAGAGAGCGAGATAGTCAGAGAGAGAGCGAGAGCGAAACGTTCGTTAATTGTGTAATTTTCAATTAATTTGTAAATAATTTGTAAACACATCACAAAAAGGAAGGAAAAGGAAAAAAACAAACACAAAAGCCAAAATTAAATATACATAAACTGACTTTCAGTGCTGCGAGGTTTTGCAAATATTTCAACTATTTTCGTTTTAGCTGCATTTCTTTGCGTTTTAAATGTTTTAAAACCATAAATTGGCAAATTAGCTTATTGGCAACATTATTATTAGTAAATGACAATATCAAATCATTTAAGTATATTTTAAAGTATTTGAAAGTATGCATTAAATAAGCTAAAATATTTTTGTGGCAGAGAAAATAGATTCTGACAAATATATTGGAGAACAATTTAAAATGTGCAGCGAGGCATAATTATAGCTTGACTAAAATCCCATTGTTGTTCCATGTTTTGACAATATATATGCATATGAAATATATAAATTAAGATTACTTTTTGTATCGAATCTTAGTTAGTTCGTTAGAAAAGATATCATCAGCATATTAAATCAATTTGTCTTTTGTCTTTTGTCAAGAGCTTAAATTGATTCAAATTAAATTTATAAAAATCCTTTTCCTTAAAGTCGTGAATGTTAGAAAGCAAATTGTAATTTTTAAAAATTTGTCTTTTGTAAATGTGTTTTCGAAAAAAGTTCTTAGGCTAGATTTCAGCGGAAGGCATTGAAACATGATATATGTATCTGTTTTGCTTAAAGTAATACCCCCATTTTGTGAGCGCCTGCTTAGAGCCTACTTTTGCTTTTTACTTTTTGTATACAATTTCAATGAGCCATATGAGAATCTCTGAAATTCGCTGTTGTTTACGCTCAAGTACTTTGGATTCATATTGACATGAAAGCAGGAAAACTCGAAACTCAAACAGCAAAAGATGCTGCCTGCCTGCCACGTGTGTGTGTGTGTGGGCGGTAGGCGGGAGAGGGGGGGCGTGTGCGGAAATAAAAGATTTTACAAAACATTGCACAGTCAATGCCTCGACTAGGAAACGGCAACACAGCAAACAGCTTAGACACGCCCAACGCCCACACATACGCATTTTTAAACGCAACTTGACACGCCAGGCAAATAAGAGTAGCAACAAAAATAAATATATATACATATATAAAAAAAAGAGAAAACAAAACTTCTTAAAGCGAGCCCAAGCCAAAAGCTGTAAAAAATGATAAACGCTTCAACTGATGACACATTCAGTTTCACACACGAACGACTTTCAATTTACATTTGATGTTTTATGTTTGCCAGCATTTACGAAGCGCACAAGAATGAGAAAAAAATGAAAAAAATATCACTCATACGCACCCACGCACAAAAGGCAGCGGGGTCGAGGAGCGAGCGTCTGGCGAACGCACGCAAGAAAATCCGAAAACCAATTGGAGGAAAATGAGCCGAACAAGCCGAATAGCGTGGATGGTGCGTGGCGGTTGGGGGCGTGGCATAGACGGTGCCAAGTAGATGACAACAACAACAAAAGCACAAAAAATAAACAACAACAACCAAACAAGCAGCAAAAGACGCTGACATGAAGGAGGCTCTGCAAATAAACGAATAATATTTGTGTGCCTCAACTTGGAGGAAAAGATTCGAAAGCGAATATAAGTATATATAAGAAGCAGAATTTGAAATTTCTATTTTTCCAGCACGCATAATATTTGAAAAAAAAAAAAAAATCCTAGACTGCCTGCCAAATCAAAAGCTCGCCAAAAACCGAACTCAATAATTCGCTTGAGTTAATGCGAAGTGTATTTAGTTGGTTCGAGCAAAGGCTTGCGGCTAGACATCATTCTCCATGATTGCGTGGGTGGGGCGTGCTGGTAAATTATACTTTAGAAGCAAGTTAACGAATGTGCGAGATTTTGAACAGAGAAAAACACGTTATGCTGTTGAAAACTGAAGGGAAGTCAAGACATTTTAATATTTTAATGCGTTAATCTGAAAGTAATTTAGGTTAATTTTAAGGTATTGATTTCTAGATAAGTTCTTATATATAGACAATTTTTTGAATTTTAAATAGTAGTCATATTGAATTATATTTAATATTGAATTTTCCACCTATTTTCCGCCTGTTGCAGTGGTTTTGCCATGCATTTTCTGGTATAGAACTCAAATCTTGACAAATATAAAGGTAAATACATTTTTGTCTTGGACTTGAATTAAATATACTGTCCTCAGGGGTATTGATCCTTGAGCTGAATATTCTAAAAGTCACCTGAAACATAAAACTAAAGAGATTTAAGTCAAAAAAGCAAGTGAATTATTTAACATGTTAAATTTCACACGCCAGCTTAGCTTAGAAACACATTCATTTAACTTTTCTTTGATAAATTAAATTTGACATCCACAATTTATTAATAAACTATACAAAACAATTTCTTTTCATATTTTTGTGATAAGCTAATACAAAGCTTATCTTCATGAAAATTCCCAATATATGTGCACGAATAGCTCTCGCCTGCTTTCTATGCAAACACTCGAATATTTCAGCTAATAAAGAAGGTACGTGTTTCATTCCTGAGCTACTTTAGTTTTCATAAACTTTTGGCCCTCTAAAATTCCAAATCCTCTGCCCTAACAACTTGCCGCCGCACAATATTGACGACTTGAGTGTCTCGTTTTCAATGGGCACTTGTCAACGTTTCACTTCTTGGCAATAATTTGCTTGGCATGCCACAAGGCTCGACATGCCGCTGGGTAGCTCAAAGAGCACTTGAAGTAAAGCACAGAGCAAGCCACACCCCTATACACACACACACACACACACTACTAGGTAAACAGCATGCGGTCAGAAAACAAAAGCAAAAAGCTCGGAAGCAGTTGCCAAAAATTGCCCATAACGAGCACTTGAAGACAAATGTGACATGGCAAAAGTTTAGAAGCATTTGCTAGCCGTGCAACGATACCTTTTCAATATCAGGGCAGACTATTTGATATATATATATATATATATATATATATATTTGTATATATATATATACAGATTTAAAGTGCTGTAACACACACGCTCAGAAAAAGTGCACTTAAAGCCCCGGCCAAGCTGTCCCGCATTTGTCTCCATGAAGGCCAACATCACATAATTTTTACCTAATTTATACAGTTGTGTGCGCTCTGGACAGGAGGAGCCCACCATGTCCGGGACTGTCCGGGTCTGGCTCCGACCGCCACTTGAATCCATATAATTGCGCTTATCTCTTGGCGCACACTCAAGTGGCAGCGGCTCAATATGTTTCTGGTATGAAATGAAGTGGCCAAAATGCTGCTGCTGTGTCCTTTACGAGTGGCCACAGCCAAAGGACCAGGGACCAAATATAAGAAAAGAAACAAAAAAGAAGAAGTTGAGCAAAAATTTTTGTACATCTATTTGATTTAAAAGAAAATACCTTTTTTTAGAAGTTGCTGTTGCTGCTTTTATTTACTTTCATCTGATGTTTTTTGTAGTAGTTGTTTTCTTTGTTTGCTGTGGTGACATTTTTATATTGTGTGCGTGAGTGTGTGTGTGTGTGTGTGTGTGTGTTTTCACTCGGCCAGCCGCAAACTTTTTGGCATGCCACCAATGAGATTATCTTAAGTGGGCAACCATTTTTCCTAAGTACGCCGCCAGCCCCATCCCTCGAGCAAAGGGTGCCGTCCACCCACGATTTGCAGTTGAGTTTGATTTGGTTTTGTGCTATTGCTAAATAAGTTTTACAATTGTTTTTAAGCAGTTTGTTATTTTTTTATATAAAGGGAAAACTATTTTGCGGTTGAATATGACATGAAGTGAAAGACCTTTGTAAATCAAAGAGAAATATTAGACTTGAAGAAAAAATAATAATTTTAACCTTAAATTTATTACTAATATTTTCATGAATTGGTTTCTCCCATATATTTATTTATATTTGTATTATTTTAAATGTATGTATTAACTAGAAATATTCTTGGCATTTTGATAAATATTAATAAATTATAAATTGGCATGTACTCTTATTTTGATCGTTTTAAATTCAATTTAAAATATATAAACGTGAAAGTTATTAATTAATTATTGCAATTATATTTTTATTTTTATTTGTCTATCAATTAAATATTTTATATTAAATAGTAACAATAATTAAAACAATAATTTTTATGGAATTTGAAAATATTCGAATTAGCTCACAAAATTTGTTGATTCATAAATAAATATATATTTATTTAATTGAATACAAATATTGCAAATTGTTTCTAGAATTCAAAAATATAAAATACGGAGTAGCCCACCAAAACGCAAGAACTATAAATAAAATTATAAATTACTATCATTAATATTATTTTATGTATTATTATTAGAATTATTATTCATATTATGTTTATTGTTATTAGTATTTCCTTTTATTACTATAATGTTTATTGTTATTATCATTTAATTATTAGAATTATTATTTTATTGCTATTATCATTTAATTATTTATTAAATGCTTATTAGAAAAAACATATATTTGTATATATATATAGATTTAATTGATTTAAATATATTGATTTAATTCCATACAAATACTGAAGCCCTACTGGAAAAATTAAAAAATATAAAACTTATAAAACACAACAATACAAAATGCATACAAAATTATATTATAAATTATTATTATTATTATTTTTATTATTATTTAAATATTTATTGGGTGTTGATTCAAAGTAACATATATTTATTGAATTATCTACAAATATTCAATCCAAATGTTTATAGGATTAAAAAAATTAAAGTATAATAAAGAGTCAAATATTAAATTTATGATGAGCTTGAACGGTAATTTTTCCCACGTGTCTTTAGTCAATGGCATTTTTGCAGATCAGAAAAATAAATAAATAGCTTGCATTTAGATTAAAGGTATATAAATTAAATAAATAAATAAATTGATATTTTAACTTATTACTGTGCGACATATCATATAATATGATGCGCTGCCTATTTGAAAATACGTTTCTTATATTTGGCATGCTTACTAATTTTTTACATATAAAACATATTTTTAAACATAATGTTCTCGAATCAGAGTCGATATCTTTTATCCTGATTTGTTCACATCGCACAGAGCGTATTTCCTTTTAGAAAAAGAAGTCTTGTCTTTGGCCTCACACATGCGTCAGCAATTGATGGAAAAGTGAATTGACTTCTAAAATTTATATATATTTTCTTTTATCATGATCTTATTTTATTCGTTGTTTGGAATTGTAATTCCAGGAATAACAGCTAGCTTTCACTGCCTACCTTGAATTTTACACAAATATTTCTTCTGGAACGGCCCATTGGCTTATCTGCGCCTGCAAACATATTGTTCGTTTGATTTAAAGTAGACAGAAAAATTAGGTCTACAATTTCTACTTTATCTCCAGTCTGCAATTTTAAGCTCCACTTTCCCCCAACCAGCCGTGTGCCCCCTTAAATTTACCTTTGCCCCGCGCTGGTCTTTTGAAAGCTTGAAGTGTGAACACACATTATAATAAACGCCTCAATTGTTGTGCAGTCATCTGTGTAATTTATGTTTAGCTAATGTTCAGGCATCGATGAGCTTGTCAGCTTTTGTGAATCACAACACACACACACACACACATATATATATATATAGACAGTCATGTTAGGTAGCTTGTGTTTTGTGATGTGCCACACACACACACACACATAGACATTAACCCCCATCGAGCTGAAATGACGTTAAGGTTGCTTCGTTGAGTCTAATAGACTTTCATGGCTGCCGTCTGTGGGTTGACTTCGACTTTGCCCCAGTTTTAGAGGAGTCGAGGCGAATCCTGAAGCTCTCTGAGCTGCAGGCGCACGGTAAGCGAAATCCTTTGCCATCCACTTTGCTCTGGCATTTTATGGAGCTCTCCTTTTCCCTTTTCTTTTCTTTTCTTTTCTTTTGATTTTATTTATTTTTTTTTAGACATGTTTCAATGATTTCTTACTTTTGCTATGGGGCAAAACTGTTGCGCTATTTTCTCGTTTAGAGAAATTCAATTTTTATACTCAATGCTAAGGGTTTTATAATTTTGTCATTAAATGTGCAACGCATTCAAGCAGACTCTCGGATGCCATACAGCTCATATATATATATACTCGATTAGCATCAATAATTCGACGAACCATTGAAATTATTAACGAAAAGGGGCATGATGAAGTTTTGTCCTTTTATTGCAGGATCGCAGCATTACACAAAAAAGCTGAACGATCAGTCGAGTGAGTTTATTTTGGATTTATAAAAAGCAAGGGGAATCTTATAATCATAGGAAATCCATATAGTATAGCTCCTACTACCTAGCGATAATTATCGATATTATTTATAATCGCTCTGTTTGAGAGTCTATCTTGATGTCAAAGAAGAAGTTAACATATAGTTGTATAATCTATAGTAATAATCGACCGATTATAATCATAATTGCTTCTGTTAACATGATCGATAAACCTATTATTTAATTCTGGAGCTATATCGATAATAATGATAACTGCTTCTGTTATATATAATTATATTATATGTATATAGAGCGAAAACTTTCAATAATATCTATAATTAATCTTAAAAATATCACTGATCGACACATTATATAATTGTAGCTCTGTGGAAATACCGTATTGATAATAATCGATAATCATTTTAAGTGCTTCCGTTAACCCCATCGGACAATCCATATAAGTGTGTTTCTATAGAAATTGTTGATAGATAATTAGAATAAGTATATAAAGTCTTTAGAAAGAGTTGATTGAAAACTATCGATAGTAAGTATCTGTTAACAATATCGACTAATGCATTACATATGTTTGTTTCTGTAGAAATAATCGATTGATAATCTATATGATTGCTTTATCATAAAGCTGTGAGAGTATTTAATATTCGGCCTTCCAAAGATAAGTGCTTTTCTGTTTTGCCCACTTTTTTTATATCTCTCTCTATTTCTTATGTGTCGCTCGTATTGGTGTTAAATCATTGATGTGTGAAATTTGTGCTAAAACGAAAAAAAGAAGCAAACTCTTCGACATGCGAAACTCTTGATCGATATTTCGTTGCATTTTGAAAGTGTTTTGGTTTTTTTTCGTGAGCACAAATCAAGTTGGCATTGAATTGAAATTCCTTAAAGCAGTCGATGCTCAGGCTACACACTGCTCCAAGTGCTATTATATTTTCGTCTCTCGCCTAAACAGTAACACCGAAAAATAACAGAAACGAAAAAAAATCTTCGCTCGCATTCCAGACGCAAGTAGTTGTCTATTCAAATTTGTTGGTAAGTCCTATAAGTTTCTTATTAGCTGCGTAATGTGTAAATTTTCGGTATGCTCCAGTTTAAGCTAGCTTTCAATTGAAGAGAATGTGCTGTGGCCCCTGTGGAAGCGTTTCATATGCGCTGGCATATGGCCCGGTCGGACCCGCTCTGCCCGCGATGAATTACAATAATTGCTGTTGTGGTCCTTGCCCGCCCTGTGGTCCCTGGACCTGTGCACCCAATCGATGCTGCTGCTGCGGTGAATGTGGATGTTTTGGACCCTTCTACTAGTCCCTTATCAAATGGACTGTCCACAAGACAAATCGAGTCAATAACCATATTATTCTGTATGCTTGCGTAGGAACACGGCGAACATTTTTTTTCGGTTTATTTTCTGTAAATCTGCAAAAGTTATTTGTGTTAGTTTGTTAATAAGATGCAGAAAAATTCAATAGGTTGGTTTTTGTTTGGCCCATAGCACGTTGAGTTCCTCCCTAATGAACAATGAGAGAGAGAGATAGAGAGTTAAGCACTGTGCACCTTTGTAATACGTGGACCAAGTATTTCTATATGTATGTTGCACGAATCTTAATTCTTTCTATATGGAATTGGACTTCATTTTATAGTTCGATGCATAATAATTTATTTTTATTTGTTTGCCTTATAGCGGTTAATAGTGGTTAACATATAAATTATAATTGGAATTTTATGAAATAAAGTATGAAAGTTTCTCACTAGAAAATCTCTGGAAGTATAAAATACAAAAATTGCAGACAGAGTTGATTGATTTCACCAGGGATGTTTGTGGGGATTTTGTGGATTGAGCATTATGGGGGAATAAGCCCATTCGAGACGGTTTTGCAACAAAGAAATACTCAACCAATTTCTTGCACCAATGTTTAAAAAATGATTTTATTTCAATATAAAGCATGGCAAACCTATTGCTGGAGCAAGGTGTTTAAAATTGTCTTCAGTCTTTTTTTTTAGAACCATCTTCTGCTGAAGTACATTTGACTTTTGTATACGCCAGTTTCCAGTTGTCTTTGGCCTGCTTGGCGACATCAGATTCAACTCGTTCAGTATTATTAGCTTTGGCTAGATCCAAGCACGGATTCATTTCGACTGCTATATTTTGCGGCCGCATACAATTGCCTCGGGTGCGGCTAGTGTCATTGGCAAAGCATTTGTCGTGTGGTCCACAGGGCGTGGGTATGAACTCTCGTCCCGTATAACGCAAAGTGGACAAAGGTGGATTATTGCAGGCCAAACTATATGACGCACAAGCCCAGCCGCCGCACATCTCGACTATTGATTGATTTTGGCTAATGGATAAAATGAGGATTATGTCTATACAAAATTGGCTTTACCCGAGAAACTTACTGTTGAAACTGTAAAATTTTGGTGTGAGATGTTGGCTGGCAACAACTAGACTCGTTTCATGATCTCACAATATTTTCCCCATTTCAATTCTGGATTACGAAGTCAACGCCAACATTGATTAAAAAAAATCGGCAGCTCCTGTCAAATTTGCTATATTAACATGTATGTATGTTTGATCACACATCTTACCAGCGTTTATTTCAACATTTACTACCAACCGCAACACCCTCCACAACCGCCGCCACCGCAGGCCGAGCAATTATCAAAGATGCCACAGGGCGTGGGCGCAAAACAACGGCCTGTGTAGCGCATATTTGACAAACGGTGATTGTTGCAGGCGATGCCATACGAAGCGCAGGCCCAACCTCCACACATTCTTGCTTTTTTCTATTGGTTTTTGAGTTCAAATTGCAATGGAAAATCGGTAGAAAATCTGGAATTTGTATTTAAACCAACTTGGTGCCGAAATGGATATGGAAATATGTGTGTGTGTCTATTGGTTGTTGTTGTGGCTGTGCTTTAGGTGTTGCTTGGACCGAAAAAGGAATTCGAATGAAATCCATTTTCATAGACAGAGCTCGTCGTCAGCGCCGTAACTCGTGACAGCTGTTGACATGCCCAGCGACGCCGGCTTGTACAATTGAAATCTCAGCGACAGGTCGAGAGAAAGCCAGGCAGGCAATAGGGCAGCCCAGCCCAGACCAGACCAGCCCAGTGCACTCCAGACTAGGCCAGACCATTTCGTAAATCTTGCCAAGCCCTGTTGAAATCTACGAAAATCTCGCACATAGCGCAGGAAAAAAAATGAAAAAATATGCTAAAAACCGAGGCATGCTAAAGTGAAATTAATCCAACAACCAGGCACAGTGGTTGTAGTTGTGCGAAAGTTGGCTTGAAATTTACGTGAAAATTGACAAGAATTGTGTTCGCGATTCTGATAGTATTATATATTATTTACATTAGACAGTTATTAATGTTGTTAGTCAAAATAAGTCTTCTAAATGGCATTGTGCATATCTCATAATTTTTTCTTGCCTGAAATGGGGTTGAACTTAAGTTTTAATTAGAGTATTCTTTATGGAAACTATGAATGAGAACATTTTTGATTGCTTGTAAATAGTAGCCTTAATTTGATTTTATATTTTTCTAAATTTTGTTTCTAAATTTTGTTTTCTTTAGAGAATAACCAACTCTTACCCAAAACAAACCAAATTAATAGCGGACATTATTGTATATTGTTTGAATTATTTTTATTTTAACAACTCTAAGAAACTACGGATCATATAAAGACCTCTAAATTATAATATTTTTTTTCTACCCAAACATATCTATCTAAAAATCTTAATATAAATTGGGTTAAGTATAAATATTTATATATTGTTTATTAAATTAACTTAACCTAACCAAACCTCAACAAAATGAACTTGAACTTTATAACTTTATAACTATAATAATTATTAAATATGTATGACCATAATTAATTATATGAAGTATAAGTTGAAAAACTACTGAATTAGATAACCTACCTTTATTTATCGTAAATAAAAGTTCTTGAAGAGTATAATAATTATTTAATTTTTAAGACTTTAATTGAAGCATTTCTGCATAATTCCATTTGGCATTAAAGTTGAGGCACCCTTTCAGCTGCCCCAATTGATAGCTTAATGACCAATTACAGCATTGATAAATGAAACCTTTACAAATTCTCAGATGCCAACCACTGTGCAGCCTCGCACGCAGTTGGTATGCAAAAATCGCACACACTTGCGACCAGAAGGACCACTAGACAATCTATGTTACAGCTTTTTTTTCGCACTTGCCGTAGTGCACTTTCAGGTCTTGCTCAGCCAGGCCCAGACAATCAATTACATTAGCCCCACTGACCCAACCAACCGCAGCGGCATGCCCAAAAACCGAGTCAGGCCTTTGAATGCGGGTCGCTCGATTCACTCGTGTGGTTTGTCGGCCATGTAGGCGTGCTCCGGGTTGGGGCAGTTGAAGGTGAAAGGCGTTGCAGTTGTCTTGGGAAAAGCCAAATAGGCGACCGCAAGGGTAAATACAAATTGAAATGAAATTTAATAGTTGGCAGGCGTGTGCAGTTTTGAGGTAAGCTGCTGCTGCAGCTTTGAGGTTAGATGTTGCAGCTTTGAGGTTAGGGCGCAGTGACAGCTATTAAGGTTGCCCCAGTGGGGCACCTGGAAAAGCATGTGCGGTCGGAAGGGAGGCAGAGGCGACAGTCCGAAGTCAACCTGGCGTCAAATGTCATTTGTCCAGTGTCAGATAGATAGATTTTGGAAAATATTAAAATAAGACAAAAAAAAACTGAAAAATCCTGGTCAAAGTGTTTTGCCAATCGAAGCCAAAGAAGGTGCTAAATATTACCGAGGCAGCTGCAAATTGCCTGCCATATTTAGCACATTTTTTGCGTGGCTTATTTGCAAAAGAGGAAAACCGCAAGAATAACGCCGGAAAGCACTTCACAACACAGGTGCTTGGCAGACGCGAGGTAAAACGTTAAATGGGCTGCTCCTCCAAATGCGGAACTGGCGGGGGCTGTGGATCCTGCATGGGCCCCCGCCGTGGATCCTGCAAGAGTTCCCGCTGCGGGACCCGCTCTGCATCCTGCTGCGCCCCGTGCGGACCGTGCAACTCGTGCGGTCCGTGCGGCTCGTGCGGCTCGTGCGGTCCGTGTGGACAAGGCAACTCGTGCGGTCCGTGCGGTCCGTGTGGTCCGTGCGGGCCCTGTGGCGGCGGAGCCTGTGCTCCATGCGGATCCTGCTCTCCCTGTAGATCATGCTGCTGTGGTCAAACGGCCTGCGGTGTTGTCTCCTATCACCTCACGAGCGGGCCTTGCGGCCCGGTTTTGCCCAGCATGGAACGCTGCGGCTGCTGTGATTGCGGCTGCTGTCCGCCTTTTTATTTTGTGCCCAACAGTTGCGCCTGCTGCTGGGAATGGGGCTGCTTTGGGCCATTCTATTAGATCTAGGCTATTCGGCGTTGCGTTTGGCTTTTTCCAAAATTTGAACAAACTTTATGATATTTTTGAGCTCAATAAATTTGTGTGTGTCATGCAACATTTTACAGCACTTTTTTTATTTCGTTTTTTCTCTTTTGACAACCCTGGCAGAACAAGGTTGCCAAAATGAAAGATTATTTAACGTTCGAATTTGTTCGAAGGCAAAAAGTAAAAGTATAAAAAAAACACAAACATTGGGCTAAAAACAATGGCTAACGCCGTCGAAACCCAATTTGCTTGTTTTCGGGTTAACCCCAAAAATAACAATAACAACAGGCAAGGATAATAGAAAAGAGCACAATAAAACAAAAAACCAGACCGGCAACATGTAAAAACAAGAAGTGGATATTCAAAAAATATAAGCACATTTTTTTGTCGAAAGGCCACAAGAATATATTGTTGATTAAAGTAGGTCAGGGGCTGCAATCGGTGTATTTTTGTCCAGCTCAAACTCGTTTTACTATATGCAAACGGGTTAATTGAAAACGGTGTAACTGAAAAGTGAAAAGTTGGCAAGGCTCACAAATTTAATATTTGAAAATTGGGCAATAAACTGTGCTTAAAACTGTTGAAAATAGTTATTAGATGCCGCTTTTTGTTTAAGCTTAGTTGTAGAACACAAATTATTTAAATGGAAGATAAAGCTATAATATTTTGTATGAAAAAGACATTAAGAAATTAAAAGTGTAATCTCTTAGCTCAGAAAAGGTTTTGTTTTGTATATTCACATCCAAAAATATACCCGGAATAGTTAAAGCTAAAAAGGAATCTATAAAGCAATTTCAAAAAATGTTAAGACTGCAAACTGTCCTAGTCTTAAACAACTCTGTGAGAGGATGATTAGGTGTACTTGGATTCTCTCTTAAACTTCGCTGAATTATTTTGAAAATAACACTTTGTTTTACGTAGACATTATCTTTATACGTGGGTTACTTCTAATGACTGGACTTTACAATAATTATTTAACATACATGGAACCTGCTGCCAGTGTGACCGTGACCGTGACGTCACAATCCTACTGCAGTTCTTAGATGCATTTAAGATTGTTTCTCAAGCAATTGTAAAGTAGTTCCAAGGCATTACTAGGCACTACAAAACAGCTAAATATAGGCTTTAATACAACTCTATCCGAGCTCGATCATAGTTCTGAAATAACTTTAGGCTTTTGCTTTTAAACACTTGTCAAATACCTTTAAAAACCTTTACAAATATTTTAGAACCAGCATTAAGCTGGCTTTGGCGATCTTTTCATTTTATAAATCGTTTTTAGCTGGCTCGAGTATCGGGGCTTATTAAAAACAAAAATTAAACAAAATTTGGTTTAAAATTATATTTTTCGATATATTTCTGCTTTTTATTCAAGAAGCCTTGAAACAGCTTTGAAAATAGCTAGAAAAAAAAAAGTGTAAAATATCTACTAGAAATTGTCGTAATCAGGTTTCTATATTGTTAGACGCCCGACGACTTTTAACTAGAGACACACAAATGGGGAATGAGGCAACTGTGACCCTAAAAAATAATAAAATAATTTTAAAAAGTAAGCGATATAGAAATAGAAAATACAGTGTATTAACATAATTGATTTGCAATTAAAGCATAAATAATTTATTTATCCTTTATATTAGTACAATAATTCATAATAATGTGGAGACTTAAAGATGTCTCCAGCTTGTTGGAGAGTTCCATAAACTAACTAGTAAGCACATCCAATTGGCGTACCTTGTCTAATATCGCGTCTAATTGGATTGCGTTTCTAATTAGTGTTTCACTTAGATATTTTGTTTCTGTTGAAATATGTTTATCACACTGCTGTTTCTTGGTTTGCCCACAGGTAGCTGAACTTTCACTATAAACAAGTTAAATAGTTTAATATAATTTATAATCATTTAGTTTTTGGCATTTATGCCTGCAACGAATGTTTTTGCTTTAATGAATTGGAAAAATCAAACCCTGTCGATTGTCAAAGCTATGACAGAAATGTGAAAAAGTTCTACTATGGAAATGCTGCCTGCGAGGCGCTACAGCCTGGCGACAATTGTTATCCGAAGGTGTTTACAAGTCTAGCTGCTTGCAAAGCGGCCTGTAAACGCTTTTTTCACTATGCGCAGGAATGGAAAAAGTTGCCAATTATTGATTAAAATAAACAAGACGATAATAAAATGGAAATAAAAATGTAAATCAGGTTAACTTTTGTAAAAAGAAAAGCAAATGCTCTTCAAAAACTTGATTAGCAAATGCACGACTACTCAAGAAACTTACAAATTTTAATAAATAAATTTAATTAAATAAAACAAATTTTTAATTACAACTTTTTTGTGTTCTGTTCCTTTTTTTAATATAAAAGAATAATGAAATTAAACAAATTAACATTAAAAACATTTTTGTGTTCGACGCCATTTTTAAAGAAAAAAGTTAATTAAATGTAACAAAATGTTATTAACATGCGCTTTTCCATTTTCTTATGAAAATAATAATGAAATGGAACAAATTTTGTGTGCAATTCCAAGATAGAAAAACAAAAGTTGAGATATTCCAAAAATGTAACAGTGCAGTGCCTAGACAATCAAAAGAAGTTGTCTACAAAAGAACTCTCAAAATATTATATTTATTTCCAGCTTGATTTCATATGTGATATCAATAAATGTATTTAATACAAATGCTGCAAAACGTTTCAGTTCTCTAGAAATAGATGCGTACAATTTATGCATAAATATGCGGCATTAAATTGATTTCAAATTGATTTGCGTAAATTGCCAAATGTTTGTCTCGCTCTCTATGATTTTGGCAAAATTAATTTCTTGCACATTGCGCATACGACAAGTTGGTCTCTATTTATGCTAACAAATTAATGCAGCTTAGATTAATCGCAGGCATTGTTTATCACTCATACGCAACGTTGTCGGTCTATAATTTAAATACACACATTTAATGCGAATTTGTAGGCTGGCTTTGATAGAACAATAGAGCTCTTAAGTAATTGTAGATGCTATTCCTGATTAAATTAATAAATTAAATTTCGAATTTACCTCTGCCGAAACCAATTGCTTTGTACAAACAAGCTCTTTAGCATCGCTCAGTACTGATAAGTTCTCAACTGCTTGGGAATTTCATCAATTGTTTCTCATATTTGTCATAATCTCTGATTTTAATATGCTCATTCATTTCATAAATTATTCATATTTTTAGTTAGTTCTCAGATATTTTGAGATTTGCTAATTGAATTCGTGGGCATATCTGAAATGTACCTCACATTTTTGAGAATTTCTATCATTTGATTCATATTTGCTTAAATATTTAGGAATTATCTCGAAGGTTCTTAAGGATGGGAGAAAATTATCCAAGCTCTTAGGCATATTTTATTTGCATGCTTAAAATATTTATTAAAATTGTTAATATTTTTTTTAATTTCCCCTTAACATATATCTAAAGCTCATAAGTATTATACCTCGACCCCTGTAACATTTTTAATATTAGCTCTACACATTATTGATTTTTAATTATTAAATATTTAGATCTTAAAGTCTTTAAGTTGTGCTATTATTTATTTTTTTATTTAGCTCATAAGAATTATAACTTGGCTATTAACTGTAGATATTATTATTATTTTCTTAGGCTACTCGACTCATTTAGTATTTCGATAAGCTAAATAAGATTCTAGATAAAAAGCTAAAACTTATTCTGATAGCCGCTTACCTTTGGGTCCTAACAAATTGTTTGCATTATTGTTGTTGTTGCCTTTGATTATTTGCAGTCTGTGGCCATAAATTAATAAATTTAGCACGTTACAGTGTTACACAACGCTCGCCGGTTGCAGTTCTGTGTAGGAACACACACATTCCGCGCACACACACACACACACACACACACACTTGGTGAAAACACGGCGTCGTCGTCGACGTGGGATTTGAACTTTGAGACCGACTGTGAGACTGAGACTTGAACCGGTATCCAATGCGAGACCGAGACCGAGACCGAGACCGAGACCGAAACCGGACCGTGCTGTCCTACGTGTATGCCCAAAAGTTGTTATTGTTTTTTCTCTCTTTGTTGTTGTTGTTGCGCATTTTTCACATATTTTTTATAATTTTACGCGCAACACAAAAAAAGGCGAAGCAGAGAAAACAGTGCTCGGCCCCTAGCCAAAAAAAAAGAAAAGAGCATAAAATATTGTAAAAGCCGAACAAAAGTTTGGCGTTGTTTGTTACCAAAACGCACAAATCTCTAGTGAAATATTAATTCTCACAATTCCTGACACATTGCCATGGGCTGCATTTGAAGCTGTTTGTTTGTTGTTTTTGTTTTATATGTTGGCTTCGGCAAATGCAACTTTATTGTTTTTTTTATTTTTACTTTGTATTGTTTATTAATTGTTGTCGTCCGCTAATTCTTATTTATTTATGCACCAGACGCGCCCTGTGCAACATATTTCGTTGGCGTTGTTGTTGTTCTCTTGTTGTTGTTGTTGTCCTTGCGTGGCAGCGTCGTTGACAGCAGCAGCAGCAGCAGCATCAGCGGCGGCAGCAGCAGCAGCACTGGCAGCAGCAGCAGCACAGCGAACCAAACGTTTTGACATTATCAACGTAACTGAAGCAGCAGCAGCAGGAAGCTGTCGTCCTCTGCCTGTCGCAGTCGCCGGCAGTGGGCTGCTGTCGCCAACGCTGTCGCCCTTTGCTCGTTCGTGCGCCGCTCGCAACTTAACGAATGCTGCCGAAGCGCTTAACCATTCGGCCGGGCAGCGCTTCGTGTGTGGGCATTTTGTGAGCGCGACGAACAGCTGACTGTGTGAGAGCGTGGACAGCGTGTGATGTAATTGTAATTGGCAAAAGCTTTTCAGTTCGAATTTGTGCCTTTTAGGGGATATTTTTCACTTAGCAGTCCGCTGTTAAGTTAACAGGCTGTATTCTAACTTATTTTAGCAGCACTTTGAAATTGAATGTAATGTTATGTGCAATACAAATTCCATTTAAAACTTTAGATTTATATATTTCAAAGTTGTTTTTTATATTAAAACAGGACAGTTTTATTTTAATTTAAGGTCAATTAGAACAAGTTTAATTCATTAATTTATTTTTATCTTATTCAAATTGTATATTTCGCAATAATAATATACACACATATTTTTAAATATTGGGCAGGCAAAAAAAATGACATATTTAATTTAACAGACTCATTAGGGTAATAAATCTTTGTCTTAATTGTTTTTGATTTGTTGAAATTAAATATTTTATAAATTGTTTTGAACAAATATTTTTTATTTCAAAATAAATATTTTTAATTTATTTTTTTTTTAAATCGATTTTATTGTGCGAATTAGATTTACGTTTTTTTTTACCATTTCCTTAATTTTACTATTAAAACGATTTTCAATTAGTTTCTTTAAAACCAGAATTCGGATACCTTTAACATACCTGATTAAGAATTTCTGGATTAAATAAAATGTTGTCAAAATAACAATTTCTGCCCTAGGTTAACAAATATTGAATTTTTACATGGCTTATTTGTTGTTTAGTTAAATTAATTTTGCTTACGCAGCAAACTAATCGGAAATCATACGCAAAGGCTTAGCTGCAATATTTTAATTCTAAAACCAATTTTAATCCCTTATTAAAAACTGAACAAAATTACAATAAACCTGTTTATAAATGCCGACTTTGACTGTAATTGTGCCACGCCCTTTTAAGCTGTAAAAACAATAATGAAGACAACTTAAAGGATGAAGGATCAACTGACAAAAAGCACGCATAGCTATGGAAAACATATTGACATCCCTTTAATAGGAATTATAAAGGGGAATGCAACATATAAAGCAATAAACAAGAAAATACAAAATGCATGCGACAAGAGAAAGGAAACATGTGTGCTGTAAAAACACACAAGCACACACAGATACACGCACACACAGTCACATATATAAAGGATATGTGGCAGGACAATAGCTGGCAAAATGTAAATATTAATATTGTCATAATGGACAACATGTAAGCAGCAAATGTGCTTTGGACAACTTTAAATGCAGCTCGAAGCGTCGTTAAACCAATGCCAGGACAACAGCAACAACAATAACATCCAGGACAACAGCCTACAGGACACTGGCTGCAAAATGTCAGCTCATTTCCGGTTGCTTAATTTGAAATCGTAGCGCAAAAATTACAAATGAGCTGACAATGCGAACACAACCAAGAACCCAAACAACCGAAAAATAACAGGGCTAACAATTTGAAGAGCAGCAAGGAAATGTTGGCTGATTGTGGGCTGTGGGGGCGTGGCATTAGCCAGTGGTGTCGCTGGCGAGGGTGGAGTCCGGACGGGGCTGTGGGCTGTTTCTGTCGGGAAACAATAAGCACAAAATAGCTGCGTCTAATACGCAAAAATAAACGAGAGCTGGCCACAGCATGACAGCAAGGCAGAGCCTGGCATCGGCAGCAGACACCCTACTACCAAGTACACCCTAGTGCGGCCCAACACCCTGCTAGCCACATGCTCTGGCCCCAATGCTTTGTGTTGTTTTACAATTTAACGCACATCCTGACAAGCAACGCAGTCGCCCAACAGTTTAATTTTTGTCTCTGTGTGTGTTCCCCCCCCCATCTCTCGCTCTCTCTCTCGCTCTCTCTCTCGCTCTCTCTTTCTCTCTCTCTCCTTCTCTCTCTCCCTCTCTTTGTGTGTGTGCGTCTGCACTCTAATCTAATGATGACAAGCGTCGTCTGGGAAATGTGTGGGCGTGGTCTTTAGCTGCATGCGCTTAGCTATTGCACTCAGCCATGGCAGCAACATTGCGTATACGCCGCGTTGCACTTGTGTCCAAAATGTTGTGCATTCACCTTTCTGCCACGTCTGCTCAGATCTGATGCGAGGGGAAGCGGTCTGCCTTAACTGCCAGCTGCTTTGTCAAGCTGACAGACAGCTGACAGCCAGATAGACAGACCTACAGAAAGCGCACGCTTTGAGCCAAAGCTGTGAAAAGGCCTCTCTGAGTGTTGCGCGCAATTTAGCAGCAGGTTTTGTGTTTAATACACACTCAAGTGTCTGCACATTTATTAATTTATGTTTATTTTATTAACATTGCTTAGATATGCATATAAATATAACAATTTTTGGGCAAAGCGGAAAGTTATCTGTACATTAAATCTTTTCTATGTATGTTTTTTTTTAGTAAATAGATAAGCTCTGACTTATGT